ATGGCTGCGAGCATTACCTGAGGGATGAGGGACCCAGGGAAACCTATATAAACACCAATTCCTTTTTGTGGTTAATTTAAAGTAACTACTTTTCCAGATCAAATATGGTTCTGCAGACAAAAAGCGGGGCCTTTTGTGGGGAGCAAAGAATTAACTGTGTTTGTGAAGAGAGAGGAGCTGAAGGGATATAGCTAGGACATTTACATATTTTTTGCATTCAATATGACTCTTAACCAAGAAGCTGCTGCCACAGCATGTGTAGGACTCAGAAATCTGTGACACATCTTGAAAAAGTCATCTGATACCATGGCTATTGCATTAGCAGTTGCCATCTCCCCTCAGTTTAGCCTTGATGTTCTCACCTGCTATGTATTGTCTCAGGGTTTCTGTTGCTGTGAAGAGACACCATAACCGTGGCAACTCTCACAAGTGGAAACATTTAATTGGGGTGTTTCATTTACAGTTCAAAGGTTCAGTTCATTATCATCACAGTGGGACATGGCAGCATGCAGGGAGACATGGTGCTGGAGAAATAGCTGAGAGTCCTACATTTTGCAGGCAACAGGAAGTGTACTATCTCACTGGACATGGCTTGAGCATATATGAGACCTCAAAGCCTGCCTCCACAGTGACACATCTCCAATAAACCACACCTACTCCAACAAGGTCACACCTCCTAATAGTGCCACTCCATTTGGGAGCCAATTTCTTTCAAATTAACACATGTAAAAAGACTCTCCTTGTGTTTTCTACTAAAGGAAATAAAACAGCCTATTCCTAGGGTGGTTCACTACATACCATAAAAAAGATTCTCCAGCTATCCAGTTTAAGTAGAGGAGCCAGCTCCAACCAGGGGCCAGCATGCTTTTTCTCCATTAATTCTAGAGCACTTTTATTGTTTTTGATTAGCATATATTAATAATATACAATAATGTGTTTTATTTCAGCCTAATGAATCCCCTTTCTACTTTTACACCATTGGTAATCAGTAAATTTCATTAGAATTGCCTGCAGAAGCATGGGTGGAAAGTTATTTATAGGATCATAAACAACTAACCACTAAAGAAAATGTCTCTCCCTTCACCTGCAGCCATTAACCTCCTACAAATACTCAGTGAGTAGTGAGGCCTCCTTAGACCCTTTAAAAAGCCCTCTCTGAGGATTCTAGAGCATTTTGAAGAAATGTGCCAACTAGGGGTTTCACAAACTTCATTAGAATCCTTCTTCTATGGAAGGCACCATTCAATCATTTGTGGTTTACATATTTATTTTTCAATCTTAAAACACTCATTTTTATTTTTAATATTTCTATGTATTCTTTGACAATATTCTTTATCCTATTAACTCCCTCCCCTACTTCTCCAATATCAACCCACTATTCCATTCCCACCCAACTTTGTATCATCATTTTTTAAAACCCATCAAATTTGTGCTGTCAATCTACCTTTAGGTATGTGGACATTTGTTGGAGCACAGTCATACTACCAGAAGACATGCCATTAAAGAGAATTAAGTCTTCCTTTCTCGGCCGCTATCAAATTTCAACAGCTCCTTAGCTAAGGATGGAATTCTTCTGTGTCCACATCTCCTCTCCATTCTGAGATTTTGTCTATCTTGATTTTTCACAAATCTTGTGCATGTTGTCACAACTTCTTAGAACTCATATATGGAACTGCCTTGTCATATCTAGAAGATACTATTTCCTTGTAATTATCCACCACCCTTGGCTCTTACAATCTTTCTGCCTGCCTCTTCCCACAATGATCCCTGAGCCTTAGATGGGAGGTATGATATAGATGTCCAGTTTAGGGCTGAGCATTCCAAAGTCTCTCATTCGCAGCACGTTGGCCAGTCATGGGTTTCTGTGTTGAGTATCACCTACTACAGAAAGAAGCTTCTTTGATGAAATTTGGGAGAAGCACTAATCTGTGGGAGTACAACAAGCCACTAGTCATTATTTTACTACTACATCCACTTAGCAGAGTAATAGTAGGTTTTTTTTTTGTTTTTGTTTTGTTTTTGGAACCTAGGACTTGTCTAGCCACAGGTTTTTTTACTTCAAAAATAGTGCCAGAAATAGGTTCCATCTTATATAAAAGGCCTTAAATACAACCATAAAATAGTTTGTTGTGCCCATGACATTCATGCCAAAACTGCACAGTGATCATATCAGGCTGACATTTACTGGAGCTTTTAGAGTTCACAGCTGGACAAGACTGATGATTACTTTTCTCCTCCATACCTTTTAGCACTATGAAAATAGGGATGAAGCTTCCAGGCTAGAACCAGCTTGCTCTCTCCAGGTTCTATGACTCAAATATGTAGTATCTTCATTAATAGATTCTTACCATCAAGTTATGGAAGATAATAAAAAATGGCAATAGCCTGTAGTATTTGGGATTCTATGGGATCTTACTTGCCAACAACTCATCCATACATGACACTGGGGTTTCTATTTGTCAGTCTGTGATATCTAGCAAAGGTGTTGCTGCCCCATTACAATTAATTTCATTTAAACTCTTTCTACATATACTTGTATTTTGGGAAGCTTTGACATGGCATACTCTCATGAGTTTTTCAGAAGGTCATTAGTGTTAACTATCCCTCCCTGTATTCCCTCTTCTACCCTACCCCATCACTCCTATTTAATACTTCCTGTTGAATTATTTCCCTTTATACAGAAACAAATTTTAGAACAAGTATTATGTTATATCACTGAATTAAAGTATCTTCAAGTTTATTTTAATTGAACTAACTTTTATTAGGGTGGCATTAAAGCCACACATCATGTCTCATTTATGCACCAAAAAAAATAGAAAAGTCAGTGTTCTTTAAAAATAACTTCTTGTTCATTGCCTCTTTGTCCATTCGTAGACTAACAGCCTGCAGTAGATAAACAGAGAGGCTGTCTCCTCCACTCCCAGGGGTTCTTTCAATGGTCAGCCTAAATAAAGTAAAAACAAACTAGCCATACAGGTGAGGATTTGTGAGCCCTGAGAATTTGAAGCAGAAAAGTTGCTGTTTTTGTCTCTTGGCTGCCATATCATGGTGAGTGATGTGGCATCAACTGGAAACATTCAAAAGAGAAGAGACTCTGAAACCAAGACAAAAAATACACTTTACTAAGGAAACCTTAGCTCCAGACAAAATGCCACTGTCCTCTCTGGCAACTCTAATCTAGATCTTTTCCACCTCATGGTCCATGTTGTTTATCCATAAAAATAAATATGAGTCAATCATCCAAAACTGATGTAATACTAATACTGTATACTTAGACTAAGACCAGGAATGGTCTCTGCCCTCTATGAGCTCTAACAACAATTTAGGTAATAAGTGCTTCAAAGTATAGTAGATCAGGTATGTATCATTGTCCAGTCTAAGTGAGGTGTGGGTGATGAGTGGATGCCTACCAGACAGACAAAAGACAAAAACTATAGGAGAGCAACAGGATGCCTGTTGAGGACCACAGAGAATTGGTCTTGGGGAAATTTCAGAGACTAGTTCATGAAGGACTTTCTAAGACTTTATTAGTTTATTATAACAAAAAAGGTTTTAAAAACCTCAGCAGCATACAGTGACTAGCACTTACTTGTCATTTAACTTCATGGTTGAACTCAGATAACTTCTCTACCTGTCTCTCATCTTTCCCTGGAGATAACCAAGGATCAGTGGGATTTCTTGAGCAAAAAGTATATAGTACAAATATAGCAAATCTACACAAATGTGTGCATTAGCCTCTCTAATTTTTCCCTCACTTTGGCTTTAAAAGTTAAAATTTAAATAACACATAAAAAAAGCAAATAGTCGAGTGGATTCCTAAGTCCTTCCAAATGGCCTCTTAGCCCAAGCTCAACCATCTTCTATTTTCACTATTTATGATTTTTGCATTAAAAGCAAACAAGGATGTTCTATCAGACATTAATCTTTCATCCTGGCCCACATCATTTTGGAGTTTGAGAAAGTGGCACAAGGGCTCTCTCATAAGGCAGTAAAAGTTTGTGGTTACAAATATGGAACTTAGTACAGGTTCAAAACCCAGCTCTGCCATTTACAACAATATACCTTAGATCAGTGGTTCTCAAACCTTTGGAGTTGAATAACCATTTCACAGGGGTCACATATCAGCTCTCCTAAATATTATTTATTTACATTACAACTCATAACAGTAGCAAAATTACAGTTACAAAGTGGCAAAAAAATAATTTTATGGTAGGAGGGTGTCACCACAACATGAAAAACTGTAATAAAGGGTTGCAGCATTAGGAAAGTTGAGAACAACTGCCTTAATTTCCCAAATCCTCTGTGCCTCGGTTGCCTGACTCACTACTTGAAGAACCTGTAGTAGTCCTCCACAGTGGTCTTGTGAGAATTAAATGACCTCTGACGAAAAAGAACATCAGAAGGGTATTAGACACAAAAATGGGGTTAAGTAATTGTCAACTACTAGTAACGTGTCCAGTGGCCATAAATATTCTGCACAGGACTGCCAGTTATTTCACAACCCAAACGGTGCTTAAACATCTGACAGTTCAAAATTTAAGCCCCCAAGGATAATGAGACCTCTAGCACCACACCGGTATTCTGTTTGAACCTTAGCAGACTCAGGTCTAAACAACTGGTGAGTGACTGTTAATTTCATCTAGCAGAGTTCAGTCTTTGCCTAGTGACAAAGCTTCAGTTTCACTAGACTCTTGTCTATAGCACAGACTTCCTTCTGTCGAGCAGGCAAAGAAAAGCTTGAAAGAGCCTTGAACTGACTCAGCCAGCTTGTACAGGCAGAGCTACTCATCTTACCAGAGCTAAGCTTTAGTAGAAAACAAGCTCCCAAATCCCCCATGTGTTCTCTGGCTCCATCCTTGCCTTCTCAAAGACCAGGTCTGAGTATAAATCTAAAAGGTATAAAATTAATAAATAACTCTGACACCCTATCAAGAAACAAAAAGAGGAAGACAAACAGAAGCCCTCTCATAACTCAGTTTCTCTTTTCACATTATTTAAAGATGTACAAAGCCTAGAGAAGCTCCTGAGGGAATCTATCATCAACGGCCAGCCTCGCACAGGCCGAGCTTGGAAAAAGATTCTCATCCTGGTGGAGGGCATCTACAGGTATGTGAATAACCAGAGGCATTTGACACTCAGAGGCTCACAGCAAGCCGCCCAATAGAGAAAAGATGACCATTCTGGCTAAAAAGAATAAAGGATGTTTTTATAGATGCTATGGAGGAACATAACAAAGGGTTATCCATGAAGTAGTCAGATCTGGGAAGTCCTGTTTTTTCTACAGCCTAGTGCATCTACTGGAACATTTGGAGACTGATAAGCTGGAGAAGTCTTTCTTAAAAATGTCCTCATTGCTGATCTCTTGCTTCCTTCCAGTGCTCTAGCATTTCAAAGATCTTTTGTGCCTGGGCTACTCAACATCAGGATGTCCCGAGACACATCTGTCACAGATGTTTCAGTGGGTGGCCCCTATCCCCCATGTGGACAATGAGCCCAAGCGCCTATTCCAGTCATATTAACTTAATGATTGGCATCAGAATACAGGGTCCTAACCTCAAGGGCAATCCTTCCTCCAGAGCAGGGACAGTGTTTGCTGACTTCACATTTGGTGATACTCTCAGGATTGTTTTCCTGCCATCTTTAAGCTGAGCAGGAAAGTTATTCCCCTAAGTCATTACCTGAACATAATAAAAGCAATATACAGTAAACCAACAGCCAACATCAAACTAAATGGAGAGAAACTCAATGGAATTCCTCTAAAATCGGGAACAAGACAAGGCTGTCCACTCTCTCCAAATCTCTTCAATATTGTCCTTGAAGTTCTAGCTAGAGCAATAAGACAACAAAAGGAGATCAAGGGGATACAAATAGGAAAAGAAGAAGTCAAGCTTTCACTATTTGCAGATGATATGATAGTTTACATAAGTGACCCGAAAAACTCCGCAAGGGAACTCCTAGAGCTGATAAACACTTTTGGCAAAGTGTCAGGATACAAGGTTAACTCAAAAAAAATCAGTGGCCCTATTATATACAGATGATAAAGTGACTGAGAAAGAAATCAGAGAAGCATCACCCTTTACAATAGCCATAAACACCATCAAATATCTGGGGATAATGTTAACCAAGGAAGTGAAAGACCTGTATATCAAGAACTTTGAGTCTTTAAAGAAAGAAATCAAAGAGGATATCAGAGCAGAACTTTTATATTGCTGGATGTGATTGAATTTGTTTCATTCTCTTTCTAAATCCATTATGACTCAAATGAAAATTGCATCCAAGCATATGTTCTGTTTACACCCTACTCTGTAAGCCAAGGAAACATATTTTTTCAGAGTACCCCTTCTTAAATTGATTCCCAAGCAACTGTTACAGCAAAGGAACCTGGGCTCTATCCCCCTGCAAGCTTTTGATAGATATATGAAAGACAAAAGGAGGAAGTGAGGACCAAGAAAACCCGAAGCAAGAGTATGGCTGCAAAGGAGACATGAGGATAATAGCATGGTGAGTCCTCCTTCTGGGTCTCACCCTCATCTGTAGGAAGAGCAAACATTGCTGCATTTGTTGCTGTTTATTGCTTCCTAACTCGAAACCTCTTCAACTGAAAACAAAGGAGATTATGAAGATACTATCTTCACCAATCATAAGTAAACACCATCTGCCATGAGTCAAAACTGAGTAACAAAGGAAATGTGCCCGATCCCTTCTGCAGGGTGTGGGGGAGGTTGTAGGGAGGTGTGAATTCTCCCAATTTGAAGAAAATATAAAAACCAGAGTCATGTTTTTTAATTTTTAAATGATTAGACTTATGCAGTTGCAAAGATGGCAGTTCATACTACTGCTTTCAACACCTACATCATTATTTACTACGGTCAATTCCAGGAGTGTGCAGTGCTTACGAAGTCTCTAATACAGTGATTTTTGCCCTGTCTTCAATCAGAGCACATTTGGCAGGTGTTAGTGGCCACACATGTAGAAGCATACTATTGACATCTAGTGGGGAGAAGTTGGGAATGCTCCTGAATGTCCTGTAAAGTATAAGGCATTCAGAAGAATCCTGTAGTTATAGCAATAGGGCCAAGGCTGAGAAAACCCTATTCTAGGATAGTTAGCTACTCACTGTCTCTAAACTTGAACTTTTAGGAAATAATCTCATACTAAGCCTGTGCTGCCATAACCTTAATTGCCAAGCTTTCTCCCTATGTGATTTTAGCAGCTGCCAGCCTGGGAGGGATACAAGCAACCCTTATCTAAACACCAGTCATCCAGGCTTGGATTCATAGTAGGATGAATTGACTGAGGAAAGGTAAACTGGGCATCCCTTTAACTAGCACCAAAACAACACAATTTCAAACAAACAGAACTTATCTCCACTAAAGGAAAGTTACATTTTTAAGTGCTTGGATCATGGCTAAAATTAGAGGTTCATCAGTGTTTTACTGACAAATAGTCCCATCAGAAACAACTACAGCAGCCAAACTTACTAGGGGTTAGGCTAAATTTTGTCCTATTCTATGACAGAGAGGGGAGGGATGTAGATGTAGACTTCTGGCCCTAAGCCAACAAGGCACTAAACCACAATTTAACAATGGTAACTCTCAGTTTATTGCTATGTAAGAAACCATTCTAAAGAATAAAAATCTCCTATGATCATTTCTTAGTTTACTTGGTCCTGTGAGTCAGGTCTGCTGTGACACACAGTATTCATTGAGCTCATTCACAAGACTTCGGCAAGTCAAGAATTCAAGTAGAAATAGAATATCCAAAATCACTGCTTTCACACATTTAGCACTGGTTTTAGGGAGATAACTAGGGTGCCTTTTTCTCATTCACATGAATTCTATTTTATTTTATGGGCACCAACACCAAGATTTGTATTATCTGGTCTTGATGCAACATCTACTCAGAGCTTCCTTACAGGATGACCCCTGGATTCCAAGACAGAAAACCCAGAATTTGCCACTGTTTTGAGAGAGTGGCTCAGAACTGATACTGTACCCTGTTGGTCAAACACATTACAGAGCTAGCCTGGATGTCGGGAAAAGAGATTACACTTTAACTCTTGATGGGAAGATTAAATTGTGTGCACAGCAACGGGAAATTCGCAGGTATCACTTTACATCAGTCTGTTGCAGATGAATTAACCTAGTATGGACATTGAGCAAAGTTTCCATGTCATAAACTTGCTGCCACAAAAGCTTCTTCTTGTCTTCTATGCATGGTAATTATGTCACCCTAATAGCCTCCATCCCACTGGCAGCCTCAGATCTTCCTTTTATAAACCAAGACTAGCCTAACATGAAGTCTTGAGCAAAATTCCAGTTGGAAAGCCTTCACTTGAGCAAGCCAATGTAGAACTTTCATTTCACCAGAAGATGAAATTTCTTTCCATAGGATTTTCCAAAGTGTCAGGGCCAGGGCTGGGAACATGAGATCAATAGTTTCCAAGTCCACTTCTGTTCTTGAGAAGTGTGTGATAAACACATAACTGGTTGATAGCTGCCCAAAGTCTCTTTTGCATTTTAACTCCTAGGGTTGTTGCTGTTCCAGTTGTTGATTTGGTTTTGTTTCTCACTTGTCTGCCCCACAGGTAAAATACCCTCACTATATACTGCTCACACACAACAGTTTTTTTCATTCCTCTTAAAGAGAAAAGTTAAGTTTTCAAGTCAGAATGTTTCAATTAGGGTCAAAACAGAAATACTTCACAAAATTAATAACAATCAATAATAATTACTTTTGCCATATCCATGGATGTCCTTATTTTTGTAGAGAATATAGAGGAGTCAGGATTTGGATCTGATTCTTGGACCTGGATTCAAATCCTGGTATTGGCCCCCATAGTTGTGTACTCTCCACAGAACGTATATGAAAGTATTAAAAAGAGATCGTATAAGCCAGTGTCTGGCAGAGGCAAGGTCATAGAAAGTCCACAACAAAGAGTAACTATCTTCATAATTTCATTTTTTTCAATTGAAGAGGTCTCAAGTTGGAAAACAATAAACTGCCTATGAGGCAAAATTGTTTGCTCTTTATATAGAAAAAGAAGAGTTGCAGAGTGAGGATTCATGATGCCCATGTGTTTATTCCTTGCTCAACATTCTAAGTGTACAATATTGCACAAACCTGCTTAGATTATTGTAAAGAGGAAGAAACAGGCTCCAAGACCTAGATAATTGCCCTGCAGCAGATTAATAAAATAAAGCAGAGCTGGCATTAAAAACCAGGTGGCCCTGGTAAAGCAAAGGTCAATGTAGATAGAAGAGGCAGCCTAACTGTTGGCATCCAATTTGTAAACACTGAAAGAACAAATAAACTGGGATTTAAAGTAATTCTACCTAGGCTTTAATTTCTCCATCTGTAAGATTGAAAATTCAAGTCTAAATGCCCATTAATATATTATTTAGGTCTAAAATCAAGTAGTATTATTTTAAGGTTCTAATCTGATTTCCTAATATTGTGTTAAACACATATTACTGTGGGTTGGAGAATAGCCCTCCAATCATAACTGTAGCAGAAGTCTGAGATCTTCCCAAAGGAGAATTTACACCAGGACAGAGATAGCACAAGCAAATAATAAAGGTTTATTTCATCCAGTGAGAAAGCAAAAGTGAAGTGCACCCTCTTGACTCAAAACAGAGGTGAACCAAAAAAGGTAACAACAAAGGCTGTCTCTAGCATCTGAACTCATAAGTCTTAGTCTACCATCCGTAGGGCAGTCTTGGATAGTCTCCTTCCTGGAAGAGTGGAGATTTCCTCAGAAGCCATCCTTGCCCATAATTCAGTTTATTACAATTAGACACATTAGATGCAAGAATATGTTTTTAAAACCCCAACTACACATAAAGTTGAGGTTACTAGGCAAACACAGGAACCTCGTGTTATTGGATCTGACTAACCAGAGTCCACCAAGACTAGCCCCACTGTTTTGTTTTTTTCTCTGATACCTGTCCTTCTTTCTCTTATCTGGCCAAGGTGGTTGTCTCATACAGAGCTAAAGTCCTCTTACTTTGACTTTGTTCTTTTAGCCCTAAAAATCCTTTAACCCTAACATTTGTTTTAACTACAGTGTTATTTTTGTAGTACCTGAGACTAGATTCCTTATCAATTCAGAATGGTTAAGAAAGCTCAAAATGATTCAAAGATATGCTGCTGGTAAATATGACACAGGTAAGTTGCAGAGTTGGAGCTCAAGTTTTCAGAATCAAAAGAATCTGATAGTATGAACCAACCCTTCTCAAATCATACACACAAGCATATGATGAATTGATGACAGTATGTCTTGAGTCTAAGATTAGACTAAGAGCCCTTCTCCCTCAAACAGTGAAAATTTAAGAATAGCTTCAGAGATAGACTTTCTCCATTAGTCTACAATTTCAACATGTAATACAAAGACTAAGATGAGTTTGCCTTAACCTCTCTCCCCCTCATTCTCCTTTTTGTCTTTTATCTCAGTCTCTCTCTCTCTTCTCCACCTGTTTCCTCTTCTCTACACCCCTCCCCTTTTCTCCTTTTTTCTCCAACCTCTTTGTCTCTATGCCTTCACTTTCCTGAATTCTCTTGGGTTAAACCTTGGGCCTGTGAAGTAGAGTTTTCCACCATACAAGTTTCTTTTTTAATGTATTTTTCAGTTTAAATTTAGATAAGAAACAAGGTTGCTTCACAAGTCAGTTACAGGTCCCTCTCCCTTTCCCTCCCCTCCTCCCATGCCCTCCCCCAACCCTCCCATTATCCCCTCATTTCCCCAGGGAGGGTGAGGCCCTCCATGGGGGTGTCCATAGTCTGTCATTTCATACAAGGCCATAGAAGTTTCTTGAGCTGTGGTTTAATTTTTGGTTTCCATGTGGAGAGGATGATGAGGAGAGGAAGATTTCAAAAGGAAGTCTTATCACTCAACTAATGCATTATACAAAAAAATATAGTAACGTACTGACTTGTGGGTTAAATGATAATTCAAGTCCCTAGACAGAGACTCAGATTAATTGATGGCATTATTTTTATTTACAGCAGTATTTTATTTCTTTTTCTTCTATTAAAGTCAAAAGAAAAGCAAAACCTTTCAGCCGGGAAAAAATTAAAACATGCAATGTGTTTTTCTTTATTGCTTTTGGTCTTGATTGTTTCGACAAAGACTAGTGATGATAACATAAATAACCATCTTATACTTTGGGCCAGACTCATTATCCCACTACAGCAAAAGGTTCTATGCAAATTCAATAATACTAAAAAAATGAAAACAGTGTGGATGAATATAACTATATAAAAACTGAGTTCTGTATAGAACTCTATGTGTTCCTGGCATTAACTCCAAAAATCAGCAGTATTGCAGAGTCATTAATCTTGGAGGAAGAAATACAAACCAGGTGGTCAGGTGCTTACATAGCAGCCCATGGAAAGATGGCTAATTAGCTTTGGAGACTGTCTACAAACACTGTTCAGTGTTAACTTTGCCTCCTGCCAAATTCAGTTCCAGAAAAAAGGAAGGGCTATTTGTGTCATGTCACATTTCTTACATATTTGCATTACCAATGTACAGCATTTTAAAGACAAGAAAAAAATCTGAGGGGCTGAAGCCATTCGTCATGTTTGACCCTTGCAATGACACTCACATGCCTTCATTTTAGAAGATCCAACACAGAACTTTGTTAAAGGCTCTCATTTTCTCAAGTCAGGCTTCAGTGAAACTTTCTTCTTCCAAGCTCACTGAGTGCCTGGGATGATCTGACAGTTGACAAGCATGAGTGCTAGCCATCATGAAGATCCTGTGAGGAAGACATGCGAGTGAAGCATAGGATAATGGATAACATCATATAGGCTGCCCTAGTCCCAATTTAGAAAGTCTGTGGCTACAATTGAAGCACAAGGTATGCAGATAGTAGTAACACTGCCTCCTCTTCCTCAGTGGAGACAACTTTAATAAATAAGAAATTTAAAGTAGTTCTGGAAGTAACTCACAAGCATGCATAAGAGAGGACTATTTTGTCTTCCATTGAAATCAGAACTTGGCCATCCAAATGGCCTTATGAAATACCCACATGCTGTATCATTGATGGATAAATTCAGCTGTGACTCTCAATGACTGTTTTGACTGAATCGACCTAACACTTAAGCTTATTTTTCAATGTATTATATACAATCTAATACCTAACAGGGGAGGATGGAGAAGTTCACCACTCTTCAAATGATTGGTCTTTAACTAAAGCGAAGGGTTGTTTGACTTGTTTGACAAGCTGCATTGTGCTGTGAACATGTGAATCTGTTTTCTTAGAGTCAGACTATCTGTACAGTCCAAGCTGTGCAGTGCAAAAGCTTCAGTGTTCTGAGAGCCAGAGTCAATGTTCTATAAAACCCATTGAGTTCTAGATGTGTCTTGTAAATATAAAATTTAATTTGATTTTGACTTCATATTTCCCTTCTCTAAGGACTTGAAACGCTTTACAATTTGCAATGCCATGGAAAATAAAAACACTTAGACCCTCTCTTGATCACTACACACACTAAAATTAGAATGACAGAGATTAGCATGACCTTGGGCAAGCATGACATACCGATCTGTGAAGTCATCTGTATTCTTTTGAAAAGCACATAGAATATACAACACAAAGAGTAAACCTTAAACTCGGAGTTTTAGTTAATGTACCAAAAGTGGCTCATCAAATTGCAATAAATGGCCTACACTAGTGGGTGATATTAATGTCAGGAGAAACTTGGTAAGACTGGGGATATGAGACTCCTCAGTACAGTTTTCTTAGTTGCTATACAAATCTAAAGCTATTATTACAAGCCCGGTCCATTTAAAAGTTTTTTTTTTAAAAAGAAACTGAAATCCCATTGCCAGGAGGTTCCCAAGGAAGATGTGCATGATACCTCAGAGAAGGGGAATGAAGCATGGGGGAGGGCAGAAAAAACTGGGAATAAAACATGGAAAACTAATAAATAGTAAACTAGGTCTAAATCAAAAGGAAAGGAATTGTTAGTAATGGTAAATCCCAAAGTGTTGTCCTTAGCTATTAATATGAATTTATCCTGGAAGCTTGTATATACTGATGACCCCCCTCCCCAGTCTAGCACCTCTGGAAACTCTGTGGGAAGAACCCAGAAATCTGTGCATTGCAGTTGGATGTTTTGTGTCCTGCCCATCAGTTCCTGCAGCTGCTTATAAAATAACACCTGAGGCTTAATATTAATTATAATTGTTTGGCCAATAGCTCTGGCATATTACTATCTCAAACATTTAAATTAACCCATTTCTATTAATTTGTGTATTGTCACAAGGCCATGGCTTACCAGTAATGCTAGAATATCTTTCTCCTTTGGCGACTACATGGCATCTCCATGACTCTGCTCTATTTCTCTCTGTATGTCTGTTTAGATTTCCTGACTGGCTCTATTCTGCCTGGCCATTGGCCAAATCAGCTTCTTTATTAACAAATGGTAATAAAACATATTCACAGCATACAGAGGGGCATACCTCTGTATATGCAATGTTACTAAGTTATATGTAATTTTACTATGCTAAAGACAAAAAGGTGAGATGATAAGGGATGCCCTTCTGTATGCTATAAATATGTGTTGCTTTTATTGGTTGATGAATAAATCTGTTTTAGCTTATGACAGAGCAGAATATAGCTAGGTGAGAAATCCAAGCAGATATGGAGAGAAAGAAGGCAGAATCAGGGAGATATCATGTAGCCATCAAAGAAGTGAGGTGTCAGAACTTTACCAATAAGCCACCCCTATGTGATGATACACAGATTAGAAAAAAATTGGTTAATTTAATTGTCGGAGTTATTCAGTAATATGCCTGAGCTATTGGCCAAATAATTCCAATTAATATTAAGATTCTGAGTGTTTATTTGGGAACTGGTGGGCATCAGAGAAACCTCCATTTACAGTGTCTTCAACCTAGCAGGAGTTTTAAGGCTTGATCAACTTCTGTTCCATCACTCTGAAGAAATAGAAAGACAGGGTACCATCAGAAGCCACATATAAGACTGACTTTTGATGACTGCTGAGCAGGGATACTAAGGGATATTCTATTGTGTGATAATTAATACTATGATGTCTGAAGTCCTATGTATTTTTAATTACCCAGTTTAATCTTTAGCAGTTCACATGCTAAATTTAGATCTGGCCAACATGGTCAAAGAAACAACAGATAGGTCAAAGTGTCTCAGAAGGGCACACTTTTATTAAGACCAGCAGAATATCTATCCCCAAAGCATTGATCTAACTACAATAACCAGATTTACACACAAGTTAGATCAGCAATATGGTAAGCTGAATAAAACATGCCATTAGAAGAGTAACAGATCCTTGTCAGCAGCCTGACAGTGACGGGACATGCTTTCTAGGAAGCACTGGAAAGAAACTGATGGAGATTTCCAGAAGACTATTCACTATTCACCTCGAATTTTTTCTTCTGTGCTAGCATGGAAGGTTCCATTGTGAATCTTCCACAGATAGTGGCTCTAAAGAAGAAATACAAGGCTTACCTCTACCTCGACGAAGCTCACAGTATTGGTGCAGTGGGCCCCAACTGCCAAGGTGTCAGAGACTTCTTTGGACTGGCCCCTGAAGATGTGGATGTATACATGGGGACATTCACCAAAAGCTTTGCAGCTTCAGGAGGATATATAGCTGGGAAAAAGGTAAGAAAGGAACTCCTAGTGTTTGTGTAGATCCTGAATACCCTAGGGAAGCAGGAAGTGGGGCTTCTCTGAATTCCTTGCAAATTTCAGTTTGGATCACCTGTACTATGGAGTAAAGACAAGTGTGGAAAGAATAGTTACATCACAACAAAATAACAACAAGGGCACCTGAGAGAGAAGTAACTCTGATGGACTATGTCTGGGATATTTTATGGAATAATCATCAATCAATCTTGTAGACAAACAGTGGGAGATTCAATTTTACAAAGAGATAATAGCATATAGCAAGCCACAGGAAGTGGGATGGAGAGATGGCCTAGTAGTTAAGACTACTGGTTGCTTTTTGGGTTCAATTCCTAGCAGCCCATGGTGGCTCACTACCATCTGTAACTCCAGTCATAGGAATATGAAGCCCCAGCTGGAACTGTGCAAATGTGGTACACAGACAGACATATATGAAGGCAAGATATGCAAGCAATTTTTTAATTCAAAACTTAAAAAGTTGGGTTCGTGTGAGTGTTAAAAATGAGGTAAATAGGCCGGGCGGTGGTGGCACACGCCTTTAATCCCAGCACTCGGGAGGCAGAGGCAGGCGGATCTCTGTGAATTCGAGGCCAGGCTGGACCGATGGCCTCCAAAACAATACAGAGAAAACCAAAAAAAATGAGGTAAATAATAGCAATAATAGAAAAAGTTTCTGTATTAAATAAGATGGCCTCATTGATTATGCAAATTGTCACCTAAACAACAGCAGAATAAAAATGGACTTCTAAGATTACTTTTTTGAGAAATAACTCTTTTCTATTAATGTTAGACAACCCATCTTCTATATTCTAGAAATGTTTGAAAATTTGGATTAGATGACATTACATCGTTTAATGTGCACTGGTCCCACAGTCTTATGTTTACATTATCAATGATTCGTTAATAGAAAATAAAATAATAAGCATTTGGAAGAAATTTTAAAGAAGAACGAAGAGGAAGAGAAAAAGGAAATTAAATATTCAGATCTGGATCTAAGGGTCAAGAAAACTGTGCCCAGTCGATTTACATGTACCTTTTCCAAATCATGGCAGTTGTCTCATACACGCCTACATTTCTCCCAAAGAGATCGTGGTATAGCTCCAACTAGAAGAGCACTGTGGGCCCCAAATTAGTCAATGTGGGTGCTATCGGAATGTTATCTAGAACAGGTGGTGGTGACACAAGTCTTTAATCCCTGCACTCACTCAGGAGGCAGAAGCAGGTGGAAATCCAGGACTTTGAGGCCAGCCTAGTCTACAGAATGAGTTCTAGGACAGCCAAGTCTACACAGAGAATCCCCATCTTGACAAACCAGGAGAGGATGTGAGGCGATCTAAAGTTTCCAGTTTCTTATTCTCTCTTACCAGCAGGAACAAAAGTCCAGCCTACTGGTCAACCAGTTAGACCAATTGGGCTATGTAGCAGACAGCTACTATCACTAGAAGCCAGTGGTTTAAAACAACAAATTGCATCTTGGCCACTTACTGTCAGATATAGGGGCCCAAATTCCTGTTTTAGTAATCTTTGCCCTCCTTTAACTGCTGCTTTCTTACATACTCAAAGCATTGTATTTCATCCTCCCTCCAGTGCCCTATGGGGATGAACTAGGTAATGCCAGAAACAGAAGCAATGCCAGGTCCTCAAACACTTCAGCAAACTCTAGTGAAAGGTTAATATTTCCTTCCTAACTGTCACATCAGCGGGATCAGAGGGTCTCGGGGTTAGGAGCTGTGTGATCCGGGTTACCTAGCTTTGTGGGGCCATGATTGCTTTAGCAGCAGTTCTGAGCCACAAAACTTTTAACCAAGCGTAACTCTGTTTCCTGAACCAAAGGCACCTGAATAAACTGAAGCAAGCAGATCCTTGAAATGTTGTCAAATTTGTTGGATGTCACATTTTTCTCCTTGGAGTGCCTTCATTTGATACCTACTTTAAACAAAAGCCTGGGACTAGCGGCAGGAGGGACAGTTCCCTGGGATCCTGCCACATGTTTCCCGTTCTGAAGGCAGGTGCAGGCTTTTAAAAGTGGAATATTCTTACCCACATGACTTCTTATCATCCAGGGTAGAAATTGAGCAATTGTGAAAACTATTATTATTGCATTAATCGGGATATTCTCCGTGACTACACTTCTTTTTTTCCTTCGCCTAAGCCACGCTATGCTGCAGTATCTCAATTAACCACCAGGTGGCATCATGAATTAGAGAGTGTTTAGCAGGGGTCTTGCCAAACAGATAAACTTCCCTAAAATACCAAGAAGACACAGAATTTAATACATAGAGGTTGAGTAAGAGAATGTAGGCCACAAATCACGAAAATAATCAAGTGGATTCAAAACTCTAGAAAAATATAAAAATACCTGGCTCTGAAATCTCTTGTTAATCCTGGTGTACAGACAATATTCTTTATTATGATTATTTTTTCCATCCAGATCACAGTTTCCCCTCCCTTCCTCCTCTCCTATAAGTCTCCCTACCTCCCCTTTCCTCTCCCCCTCCACTCCTCATCTTTGTCGTCATAAAAGGGTAGGCCTCCCATGTACAGCAGTCAGCCATGGCATATCAAGACTAAGCATCTTCTCTCCTATCAAGGCTGAAAGAAGCAACTCAGTAGGAGGAAAGGGTCGCAAAGGAAGGCAACAGAGTCAAAGATGACCCCTGCTCTCACTGTTAGGAGTCCCACACAATGACCAAGATACACAGCTGTAACATACTTGCAGGGGCCGTGGGTCAGTCCCATGCAAGCTCTCTGGTTGGCAGTTCAGAGACAATATAAGATGTTCTAGGAATCTTTGTGGAGTGGATCAAGAGCGGAGTTTTGCACATTAGCAATGAGAAGAATCATGCAAGTGAAAAATACTTGCAAACAAGTAAAGGGGGATGTTTGGTGCTAAGATCTCAAGAGAGCAGGGATGTTATTGGAGCTCAGTTTTCCCTCTTATCAGGTGTTCTACAAATTCCGTTTGACAAATCAGGGGCAATTCCAAGCTGAAACAGTTTCTCAAAAACCGATGGGCCTTTTCTCTTTTGCTCTTTGAGTTTGGAGCTCTGTTGACAGTGAAAAATTCACTGATGAGGACATCCTTCTGCAATGTTGCAGGTGAAAATCTAGATAATCACTTCCCTTTTCAATTTTTAAGTTGTATTTCTCTAGCTGCTGGGAGAATGTGCTCAACACTGCCCAGCCTCTGTTCTCCTGAACACGATCCTGTATCTTCCTGCATGCCTGCTTGCCCAATGGCTTCTCCCAGCCTGTATGGGATGAAGACTGGCAAATAAGTGAAGCAAAGATTGTCCTTGTAACTGATAGACTACAGGGCTGTAATTCTAGAGGAGGGAAGCAGGAAACAGAGACTAGGTTTGAGGTGATAGTTAGCTAAAAAAAAAAAGTGGCCTGAAAATCAAGCAAATGCAGGCCCCTTACAGAAGCAGTTCTGTGTGGGTATTCTCAGCCCTGCCTGCATGTAACAGCCCTTTGAAGTAAATAGGGGTCATGAAATGAGTACCAAGATGTTTATTCTAAAAGCCTCCTGTCTGATTTCCTCCACAAAACACACCCTTGCCCTTGAACTCTGGGCCTATGGGTAAAGAAAATAATCAAGGTTTTGAACTTGAAAAAAAAGTGGGGCCTGGAAGCCTGTGTCTGAGAGAACCTCTAACCTACTCCCAAGGAAAGACACAATGCAGACTCGCCTTGCAAAGGACCAAAGTCAACTCTTAATTCATGGCTGTGGTACCCAGTCAGGGAACGAAGGGAAGGAATCAGTGGGCTTTCCTTGACACTCTCCAGAAGTTACTACAAAACTCCACTTCCTCAACCACACAAGCAAAATCGCCTTTACCCAGAGTAGGACAAAATAGACTCAGCCCAAAGGAATTATACTGTAAGACAGACAGTCTTCATTTTCAAGGGGGTGATTTCTCTCTGATGCTTTGTTATTGAAACTATGGGTGCTTGTGACTGACTGCATGAAATTCCTGAGTTTTTGAAAGGAAATTGGGCTTGGGGACACTTTGATCAAAGGAGGCCTTTGCTTTGTTTCCTTGTCTGATCTTTGTGGCGAATCCTTCACAGCTATGATATTGCTGATGATGCTGCACTTGTTCTTAGGGCTACAGTTTACTCATCCTCAATGCATTAAAGGACTGGCCATCTTTCCTGCCATTTAGGCTCCTTGGCTTTACATTCAACTGTCAGTATATGTAGGCTCTCTGCTAAGTCCCTAAGACAGTGGACTTTAAGAAAAGTGTGCCCTTCATTGCTTTCTCTCAGAGGACTCACTCCCTTTGAACAAATAAGAATAATATACACAAAACCCTTTAAATTCCAAAATAGCAAAGGCCATAGATCACAGAGTAAGCAGGAGAGCTGATCTCTGTGCCCTCCAAGACTCACTTCATCTCATACTGAGGCTACCCCTCACTGGTTTTGAAGAGGCGATAGCATATTGTTAAAGGTGGAGACTCCTGAACCAGAATCATTGGGTTCAAATCCTTACCTTCCCAACCTTTCTGAAGACTTTTCAGGATGCCTGTGGTTCAGTTATTCTATATATAAAATTGGGATTAAAAAGCACTGCCTACCTCAGAATTTTTGTAAGTGGATTAACATATACACTGTTCTTTAAATGGTCTTGAAAGTATCTGTGGATGTTGGCTATGGTGTCAGCTTCTGGTCTCATTTTCTTCTCTGAGTCATTCAGTAGCTCATCAAGTTCATGGTCTCTTTTCTTCCAAAGTCTATCTGTTTTATTGTAGGTTTTAGTGGTTAGGTCAGGTTTGGTTTGGTTTGGTTTCCCTCCTACTGCCACTATTCCACATGAAATAGAGGAAGAAACAAGGTGACATCATTGGTTTGGTACCTTGCAGCTACCCACACATGGGTAATTTAATGCCAGATCATTACCTTTGAAAATCAGCAAGCTGAAATAACAAGTTTTGTGTTTTGGTCCTTGTCTCCACCCCACAAATGCTTCATGTTCTATACATCTTTAAATTAACAACTTCCAACACTGCATTAGATACCATAATGTACATTTTTTTAAATTTTATTTTCCAGTTTAAATTTAGATAAGAATCAAGGTTGCTTCACAAGTCAGCTCCAGGTCCCTCTCCCATTCCCTCCCTTCCTCCCGTGCCCTCCCCTCCCCCCCCGTTATCCTCTCATTTCTCCAGGGAGGGTGAGGCCCTCCATGGGGGTGTCCATAGTGTGTCATTTCATATAGGGCAGGGCCTAGACCCTTTCCCAAGAGTTCTGGGTGAGAGTGCACCTCACATTGTTCTATTGGAGTCCAAAGTCCGTGTGTATACTTGGGATGGGTACTGATCTGCTGCCCAAGGCTCAATAGATTCCCTAGGCCTCTTCACTGACACCAAGATTCAGGGGGTCTTGATCAGTCCCATGCTGGCTTCCCAGGCTAATGCCTGGGATTCAAGAGTTAACCTTTGTCTGGTCAGCTGTTTCTGGGGGTTAAACCAGCCCAGTCTTAATCCCTTTGATCATCAGTCCTCCCTCTCTGTTACTGGCTTTCTTGAGTTCAGCTCAGTACTTAACCAAGGGAGTCTGCCTCTTCTTCGATGAGCCACTAAATAAAGTTTCTGTTTCCCAGACTCTCTGGCCATAGGATTGTAGGCTGGCACTCCCCAGATCTATGTCTAAAATCCATATATGAGTGAGTACATGCCATGTTTCTCTTTTTGTGACTGGGTTACCTCACTCAGGATGGTTTCTTCTAGTGTCATCCATTTGCCTGCGAATCTCATGATTCCATTATTTTTTTCTGCTGAATAGTACTCCATTGTGTAGATGTACCACATTTTCTCTATCCACTCTTCAGGTGAGGGACATCTAGGTTGCTTCCACGTTCTGGCAATTACAAATAAAGCTGCTATGAACATAGTGGAACAGACATCTTTGTTGTATGAATGGGCATCTTTTGGATATATGCCTAAGAGTGGAGTTGCTGGGTCTTGTGGTAGGTTTATTCCCATTTTTCTGAGGAATCTCCACACTGATTTCCAAAGTGGCTGAACCAGTTGGCACTCCCACCAGCAATGGAGGAGTGTCCCCCTTTCACCACATCCTCTCCAGCATAAATTGTCATTGGTGTTTTTGATTTTAGCCATTCTGACAGGGGTGAGATAGTATCTGAGAGTTGTTTTGATTTGCATTTCCCGGATGGCTAAGGATGTTGAGCACTTTCTCAAGTGCCTCTCAGCCATTTTAGATTCCTCTATTGAAAACTCTCTATTTAGTTCTGCAGCCCACTTTTTAATAGGGTCCTTTGGTGTTTTGGAGACTTGCTTCTTGAGTTCTTTGTAAATTTTGGAGATCAACCCTCTGTCAGATGTGGGATTAGTGAATATTTTTTCCCATTCTGTGGGCTGCCTTTTTGTCTTGCTGACTGTGTCCTTTGCCTTACAGAAGCTTCTCAGTTTCAGTAGGTCCCATTTATTAATTGTTGATCTTACTGCCTGTGCTACTGGTGTTATGTTCAGGAAGCTGTCTCCTGTACCAATTCGTTCAAGGGTACCACCCACTTTCTCTTCTAAGAGGTTCAGTGTGGCTGGATTTATGTTGAGGTCTTTGATCCATTTGGACTTAAGTTTTGTGCATGGCGATAGACATGGATCGATCTGCATTCTTCTACATGCCAGTCTCAAATTATGCCAGCACCATTTGTTGAAGATGCTTTCTTTATTCCATTGTATATTTTTAGCTTCTTTGTCAAAGATCAGATGTTCGTACGTGTGTGGGTTAATACCCGGGTTTTCAATTGTACATTTTTAAGATACATAGAGATATAGAGATATTCTCATAATGACTCTCGGGTAGATAAGGTAGGTATCACTGTTAACTCACTTTGTAAAAAAAAACTGACATAGCAAACTTAGTTATTTGTGCATACTCACATAGCTGTCAGTAACAAAGCCAAGATTTGGACTGAGAAATTAAATTCTAGAACTTATATTTCAACTCTAGGACATACTACCTCTCTAGGAAACAACTCCTTGTCCCCAAAGCTCTAGTTTCTTTCTCTACTCCCAATTGACTCCTCCATTCTTTGCTCATGCATTTCACTGTTAATCCCATATATGTGTTTCTTAACCTCCTCTGCATTCTTCCAAACCCACCCATCTATTGTGCCCAGATCACCCCTTGAATCATTCCTTCATAGGCACAGGAACCCATGAGCCTCCATTGTCCAATACCTATGACTCACTGACTTGCCTCCCCTAGCAGCCATGGGAAAATATTTAATCTCAACAGAAGATGAAAATCCCTATTGCCATTTACCATATGGCAAAACACAAACTCTGAATGATCCTTTATCTGTAATTCTTGGGAAATAACGAAATATCTCTCTTTGACGGCCTCCAGATCCCCCAGAGCAAGCTTCCTTGGATGCCATGTAGCTGACATTTCAATGTCTGTCCTTGTCATCTCCACTCTTCCAGAGAAGGGAACACACTCCCAACTACTGTTATATGATTCAGAAAAAGAAGAGTCCAAGATGTCAAACTATAATATGGCCTTAGTCCTCCTGCCCCCTAGATTCACATATGAATTCAGGACATAACCCATCACAGGTCTTTAATATACTTTCTGGGAGGAAAAGCAGAAGGGAAGAGGTGAAGAGAGAAGAAAAATAAAAAGGAGGAGGAATATGAAGGAAGAGGTAAATACTATAAATAAAGAGAAAAATAATTTAAATGAATAATTTAAAGTTTTTAAAGGGGGAAACTAGAATCAAATGAAGGGAAAAGAAAGAATCTAGAAGTAAAGAAAGAAAGGAAACAAACAATTTGCAGTGCTGAACCCAAGTGCCCAAAACCTTTTGAGTTGGGCTCAGAACCAGTGTCTCTTCAAAGGAAGTATCACTTCTTCTGAAAGCAGGGCACAAGGCCAGCCCAGGCTCATTGACTGCTTGAAGAAATGACCAGAAAAGAGTACAGTGTTTATGGGGACCAGGAGTGGAAGAATGACATTCGTTTTCTGGGGCATCCTGTCTCTGTACCTTGCATATCTTCTCTCTTTTCATGTTTCCATTTATTCTTCAGCTATCTTCATTCATCTCAGCTTTGTAGAACCTGCCTCCTCACTGGTGCATCCCCTGACTGCTCCTCTTAGCAGCACACTCTCTTTCCTCTGCATCTTGCAGTATATTACATGCATTCTTCCTCTTCTGCTAATCGTCATGGCATGATTGCTAATATTCTCAAGAAACAAAAGAACCAGATTTTGTATCACCGGCCATTCCTGAGCATTTGCTCTTGTGCAAGGCAGATATTTCAGAAAACACGTTTCCTTCGCATGCCCAGCTTTCGCCTTATAAGATGGCTCTAAATATGTATCTCCCTCACACTTTTGTACAGTTTCTAGGCTTTGATGGAAAGGATTAAGAAAACGGTAAAGCAAACTAAGTAGTTGAATTTACACAGAGTGGTTGAAAGTTAGACAGACCACTGTCATCTTTTGAGGACCTGAGCAAATGCTTTGCTGTGATGATGCACAGAGGACAAGTTCTGAGAGTTATTTGGGTTCTGCATTTATTTTAGGAACTTGTGGATTATGTTCGGATTCACTCACACAGTGCTACTTATGCAACATCCATGAGTCCCGTAATAGCAGAGCAAATCATCAGATCATTGAAGTTAATTATGGGAGAAAATGGAAACCTTGGAGGTAAGGGGTCTACAGAGAACTCAGCTTCTGTCTGTCAATCTCCCACTTTCTCAAGTATACACTTTTGTCTCATGAAGTCCGGTTTTTTAGTCAAGTGATGAGCATACTAGAACCACTATCATATCACTCACACATACACACACACACACACACCACAAATTCTTTGTTAAAACACCTACATACAGTCTTCAGCAACATGTTAATATGGATCATCTAATATGGACCATTTTTGCATGATCAGTGGTTAAAATGAAGTAACCAATTTCTCCGTGTATATGTATGTTTGTATATGCGTGTGTGTGTGTGTGTGTGTGTGTGTGTGTGTGTGTGTTTGCCTATGCTTTCTTGGTGTCTCTTGTGTTTCTCTGAGATGAATATCATTAGCATAATATTTTATATGTTTTATTGCCAGTAATTGGGCAAGGGAAAGCGATCACTGGCCATTTGAAGACATACAAGCTCACAATATCAGCCCAGTCACTCATTTGTCTCTGTCATTTCAGCTAAAATGTGTTATTTTGTTTAACCCAAAATAACAGAACAGAACCTTATCTTTGGAAAACTGTTTCATTGAAGACTCAGATAATTCTCATTCCATCTTTCAGATCTAGTCCCAAAAGTTCTACTACATGTGATGATAGTAAAACAGTTCTAGCTGCCAGGGAGTAGAGTGAGAAACAGCAAATTATACTGACTTAAAATTAGCCACAAGTCTACACAATCCTTGTGTTTCATCCTACAAAAAAACCTGTATTGTTTAATGCAAACTTCTAGGCCCACCTATCATTAGTAGTGTTAAATAAGAATACTTATATAAGTGTTCTACAAAACAAAAACAAAAACAAAAATCCTACTGCAAACTGAGCATCCACCTAGTCTTAAACTGGAATACTCTGCAGTCTGACTCATTTTGAGCACTGACACGAGGCTCTAAGTGGAACATTCCACACTTGCCCTCATATTAAAGAACAATCAAAATGCAGGCACACTAAAAATATTTTGCACAATTATCTGTGGGTGCAAGGCATAGCACCTGAGCACTGGGGTGGCAGGAGGATTACGGGTTTGAGGACAACCTGGGCTGCGGAATGATTTCAGAAAACAAATCTATTTAAAAAACTCCTGCTGACAATATGTATATGAAATACCAATAAAGTTTGTGATTAGACTTGGGGCCCATCCTCAAGGTATCTCACAACATATATGCAAATATTCTCAAAAAAATCTAAAGCCTTTTTGGCCCTAATCATTTCAGTCAGAAACAACCTATATCCTTTATGTAAATCAGATAAGAATGAGGCTGGTAAGTTGAAGTAGAGCCTCCACTCACCTCCACACTGACAACCACTAGGGTCCTTCCTGATTGCCAGAATACTGAAAAAAAAAGTAACATGGAGTTTGTTTTATCACTAAAGCTGGAAAATGCCCCACAAGATGCTTTCTTTTCTACCATATAAAATAAAGCAACTGGTGGATTGCTGGGATCTTTTTAGGATTGCCTTTTGCATTTCTTGACTGAATTGTATTGAAAGCCTGTGAGCCTGGGGAGTCCTGAGGATGCAAACAGGAGGTAGCTGCTGGGCTTTGATTCTTTTGCTGCTACTTATCATCATGTGACATTCTGCAAGTGAATGGGGCATCCAACCCTGAGCAGGTGATTTAGCTTTTCTTTGCTTCAGTTCCTCCAGCTGTGAAATGAGAGTAATAACTTCTAAGCATCGATGCTTTATGACAGCTAGGTAAGTTAATCCATGTAAAATACTAGGGAATGTCTGGAAACAATCATGAATTTTATATAATTGCATGCTGTTGTTTTCTATTGTTCCTGAGACATTCAAGAAGTATGTGAAAACTCTCTGATTCTGTAAAAACCTCTTAGGAAAGAAATGAAGTAGGACTGGATGTCCTCCCAGGTCTTAGACTGGTCAGGATGAGCAAGGTTAGGCTACCTTAACAAACACTAAAAATTCTTGCTACCTTAGTAAAACCAAGGCTTATTTCTTTCATTGTTGGTGACGATATTGTTTTGTTTTGTGTGATTGTTTTTTATGTATTCTTTGACAACCAATAAGGGGCTCTCAACTGTGTGAGAGGCTAATCTCCTGCTCCCAATTGTTGCCTGCAGTTCTTTTTCTAGGGATGAGACATCATGAAACTCTCCCCTTTCCACATTAACAGATCCTCATATCCTTAATATGGCAATTACTATATTTTGCCTCATATAGCTCGCCATCTTAAGAATGAAAAGTAAACAGAATGTTATATGTCAAAATAGACACAGGAGGAAATATAAAACAGTTTTTTGTTTTGTTTTTGTGGGGGGGTTGTTCTTTTGTTTTCTTTTTTCAAATAAATGAACAAAGGAAAGTAGTTCCTTTTACAGAATCATCAACCAAGTTTCAGGTAACTCTGCCTGGCACATCTCTTGAAGAACTCCAAGGCACTCTGGGAATGATCACATTGACCTCATTTATAACAATGCCAGCTCAGATGAATTGGCTAAGGGCTAAGTGAGAATACTGCATTAGCTTGGCCTTCTCTACAAAGATATACTGAGAATAAAGTTGCCCAAAGCTCCGAGAGATGCCTCATGCTAGTTCTGCCACACAGGGTCTGAGAAAGAGGAGCCTGGCTCCAAGCCTTCTTCACCCTACTGCAACTGTGACTGGAGCCTTTCAAGGCTTTGTTACAGGCAAGTTTGGGGAGCGGTTGGCCAGATCTGTTCCTTGATGAATGTCTTCACTTTAATCTGCAATGCAAAACCATACGCTTCAAAGAGAGGCAAGCTATAGCAATAAGGTCAGTGTTCCTTTGATGCCAAGGTTCAAAGATGAAATAGCAGTCCCAGTGAAATGACAATGTTTATGCACAAACAGCCACCTTCACTCTGCAACCAGGCTGCTGGTAGAGTTAATGCACACAGGCTGAGGGTCTGCAGGACGGGTGTGCATTCCATATGCACCAAGGCCCGTTTAATCTCCTAGCCTGTCACTCTGTGCAGTACACTGAGGCCAATGTGAAGATTTGATTTCTCCATCCTAATGGTTGTTGGGTGGTCTCCCAGCTAAACCAATGCTGTAAGCCCCTTAAGGGCAAGAAATGTGTCTTGAATTAATTTTGTGTTCCTCTGAGTGTCAAACTCGGTGCTCAGCTTAATAAATACGTCATGACTCAACTTCCATCTTGCCAGCCTTCTGGATTTCAGGTCAGTGTTTATGCTAAATAAGATTGTGGAGATGTTTATGTCAGCCGACGATGAGCCAGAATGTGGTCTACACCAGTGTGGCACCTGTACAGACCTTCAGTGAGGGGGATCACTTTTGGAGAACTCTACAAAGATTACAGTTCTGTCACTGGCTTAATGTAGCTGTCAAGCAAGCAGCCACAAGGGATTGAGCTCCAACCACACAAGCAGCGTCCTGACAGAGAACAATGTCCATCTATTGCCTTGTTTTATTCAGATCTTTAATGAACATTTTTCTTTTCAGTTATTCAGTGGGTCTTTTTCAACTCCCAATCTTGACTATTCATCCCTAAATCCTCTTTCCCCAACTGTGGTGATCTTTTACTTCTCACAGAAAACAAATGGAGGTTGAATTGTGTAAATGATTAAGAGGCATCCTCTGCAGACAGATCACATGTGGCACAGTGCCTGACTTACTCCCTCTCTTAATTCATTTCCTCCACTGAATATCAGTATAGTGGAAGGACTAAGTGATATGGTATAGACAGTGGATATTGCATGGTGGTGATACACAATACAAACTTAACAAAAGCACTATGACTTTTAACTTACCTGCTTTCTTTCCTTTCTTCTCAAATATTTTCATAGTTTTTACCCACCTTGGAATTCTCCCCTGTTCTAAGACTTTATGACTACTCTTCCACAGAGCAGTTATCCTGCATCCTATAGCACTTGCTTAAAAATATTTGTATAATCTGGTCACCTCTCAAATTCTACCTTTCTAGACAACTGGAATAGCTTCCTGAATAGTCTGCCCAATTTTGTCTTTGTTTTTTTTTATGATTTGTCCTCTCTGCAGAAGATCAAATTATCCTTTTAGAATTTATTTTACCTGCATAAATTTAAAGGATAGAGTATAATGATTTAACACAGGCATACAGTGTGAGAGTTGGTCAAATCAGAGCTGTTAGTATTTCCATTTCTTTGTACATCTTAAAAGCTTTGAGTAACATATAATAATTATATATTTATGGGGTACAGAGCAACATTTCTATGTATATGTACACTATGCTGAGAAAATTGAGGTAGTTAACATGTCTACCTCTTTAACTTTTTTTTGTATTTGGAGTCTTTGAACTCCTGTCTCTCTAGTTACTCATAAAATAAATAATAGGGCATTATGGACTGTAACCCCACTGTTCTTTAGGACACTAGAATTTATTCTGTGACTGAGTAACTGTTATCCATCCTCTCGCATCCCTTCTTACTCAACCCTTCCCAGCCTCTAATAAACCTATACTATGCCCTTGCTGTCATTGTTAAATACCGCCTATATGGTATTTAACCATTCTCTCATAGAAACACCAACTAGTTAAAAAGAGAAAATGTAACTTATACCATGCCACTCCCCAACTCCATCAGCTTCGCACTCACTTTGATATGAGGCCCAATGGCCCACAGGCTTTCAAGACTTCGCCCTCACGTTTCTCAGACTCTTCCCATTGCTCAATACAGCCCTGGAATTCATGACCACTCAAAGCAACTTCCAGAGAAAGGCCTTTGCACTTTCTGGTCCCTCTAAAATGGCTCTTCTTTGTCGTCACTCTTCACTCCCTTCTCTCCTACCCATCTCTGCTCAGAATTGATCTTCTGAAGGAGCTGCCCCATCCTACATAGCCCAGCCTCCATATCTCCAGTTCTCTTCATTTAAATTTTCACAGCTTTCATGACTATTCTTTCTTTTATCTCACTGGAGTGCAAACTCCAAGAGAAGATAGCCTTCCTCTCATTAAGCATGCTGAGAATAGCATGCTGC